TCATTACCCTCACTGACCTGTGTGGAACAGAAGATGCCTCAACTGATCTCTGCCCAGCTGCTGCCCACTAATCTTTCCCCCTGGACTCAGAAAAGGCAAACACTGGGACTGGCATGGAAGGGAATTAGAGGAATCCAGGTCTCTGTCCTCAGAATCCATGAAAATGAAATGTAGCATTTGGGGAAATACCCAGCAGGGGACTAGCTGGGTCAAATGTGACTTCCAATCCTATTTGTATGGCACTACTGACTTCCATAGTGGTTGCACCAGTCTGCACTCCCACCAGCAGTGGAGCAGGTTCCTCTTTTCGCACATCTCTGCCAGCATTTGTTACTGGTTGATTTCTTGAGAGCAGCCATTCCTTCTGGGGTGAGGTGGAATCTCAGTGTTGTTTCCATCTGCATCTCTCTAATGACCAGTGATGTTGAACATTTTTCCATGTTTATTTGCTTCTTATACTTGCCTGAGGAATCTGTTCATTTCAGATGCCCATTTTTGGAATTGGGTCTTTAAATTTGGAGAGTCTTGATTTTTTTAAAAGTTCTTTATATATTTTAGATAGTAGAGCTTTGTCTGAGGACAGCTGGTTAAAAAAAATTGTTTTACCATTGTCAGTTGTCTCTTAGCACTGTTGGTTCTTGCAGTGCAGCTTTTTAATAAGATGAGATCCCAGTTGTTCTTTGTGCTAGTTCCTGTGATACTGAGGTTTTGTTCATAGTTTTTTCCTATGACGATGTCTTCAAGAGTTCTACCTAACTTATCTTCCAGGAAGTTTAGTGTTTCTGTTTTCATATTTAGATCTTTAGTCCACTTCAATTTTAGTTTCATGCATGGTGAAAGATATGAGTCTAGTTTTAATCTTTGGCAAGCTGAAATCCAGTTTTCCCAGCACCATTTATTAACAAGGCTATCTTTCCTCCAGTGAGGATGGTTGGCACCTTTGTCAAAAGATGAGGTGACTGAGTATGTCTGAAGTTGTTTATGCATCTTCTAATCTATTTCAGTGATCTTCAGGTCGTTTTTATCACAGTAGCTTTGTAGCACAGTTTTATGTTGGGGATTGTGATACCCCCATCCTGTCTGTTGCCTAGAATTGCTTTTGCTATTCTAGGTCTCTTCTGGTTGCACATAAATTCCTGGATTGTTTTCTCTAGTTCTGTGAAATATACTGCTGGGATTTCAATTGGATTGCACCGAATCTTTATAGCAGTTTTGGAAGTATGGCCATTTTCACTATATTGGTTCTCCTACAAAGGAGCAAGGGATGTCTTTTCATTTTCACATATCCTCTTCAATCTTTTTCAGAGTGCTGTAGTTTTCAAGGTAGAGGTCTTTTTACTACCTTCATTATATTAATTCCTAGATATTTCATTTTTTGGGATATGCTATAGTGAAAGGGATTGTTTCCCCTATTTCTCTCTCAGTGAGTCTATTATTTGTGTACAGGAAGGCTATTGATTTTTGAGCGTTGACTTTGTATCCAGCTACTCTGCTGAATCTGTCAATTAAGTCTAGATGTCCTTTAGGAGTTTCTTGGGTCTTTTACGTAGAGTATCACAGCCAGCAAATAATGTTTAATTTCTTCCTTTCCTAGCTTTACTCCTTTTCTTACTTTCTCTCGTTAATTACTGTGGCTAATGTTTCCAGAACTATTCTGAACAGGAGTGGTGATAGTGGACATTCTTGTCTTCTTCCTGATTTTATTGTGAAAGAGTTTACTTTTTGACCCTTGATTTTAATGTTGGCTGTTGGTTTTTCATAGATAGCCTTTATCTGGTTGAGATAAACACCATTTGTTTCAATTTTCTGTAGGGTTTTATATCGTGAATGGGTATTGATTTTGTCAAACAAAAAGAACAGTCATTATCTTCACTCAGACACCACTCTGACTGGGCACTTTGTGGTCTGTTTTCCTATGTATTATAGTCTCCTTAACTGTGGGCATCATTATGACACCAGAGACAGCTTTGTGGATATGGAAATTGACATATTTGCTATTCCTCAATTTTCACTTCATTAATCCTTCAGTATATAAAGGTATCAAGCCATTTATATATATGGGCCAGGTAACAAATTGCTTATTTTTGTTCTGTCAGTGAAGTCATTTCCCATTACTGTACTCTCTAGTCCTACTGCTTTTTCTATAGGAGTTAAACATTCATTTTGCAAGGCTCACTAGGTAGGGAGATTAGAAAGCTTTCACATGAGACAGAGATGAGCTAGAACTTTTTCTTTATTTTTTAGTATTTCGATTCAACCAGATGGGCATAGACCTCGTAATAGGACCCATAATAACATGAGTATGCTGTGGACATGATAAAATCAAGCCAGAAAAGATTATCCTTTGCAGAATAAATGGAGACCTAGGGAAAGACCTGACGACAGAACAATTCATGAGTCATGGAACATGGGTCAAAAAAGAAAAAAGAGGGGTGGAAGAGAGTAGCATTACACTCCCAATATTTCAGTGAAAATAGTAAGGAATATAGTTTGGTGCACAGAACACACTCCACACACTTCTCCAATTCTGCTCTCCATGATACTTCCCTTCCTATAATAATATTCTACAAAGAATACTTAAATCTATCAAGGGCTTTGCAAAGATGTCTTGGTATTCAACACGTATATTGCATTACATTCACTTCCCATGCAGATGCTCATCAACCTATGGAAGTCACGAAAGAGTCACTCATTAGACCAACTTTGAATATTGCCAAGCTAATTCTTTCATTCAACCATGTTATTACTGTTTTGAATACTGGATATATTTGTGTGATATAATGAGAAATATTTTAAGGAAATGAAAGTAAGACATACCAAAAGACTGGATCACACTGTCACGCAATCTCATGAAAATAAAACAAAGAGTAGACATTGGCCACCAATTCAGTGTCTCCCAATGTGGAAATTCAAGATCAGTTATAGACAATTTTGTCTTGTGGATTCCCAACTGACTCAAGTCTGAGATTTCAAACTATTAACCCATTCTGAGATTTAGTATGTTCCCCCAAAGTCCTACATTGCAAACAATATGTAATGACAGGTGAGTTATGGACCCAGTATAATGTGCTGGGCATGATTGCTTTTCACTTACTTTTTATTTCACACATACTTACCTGCCCTTCAACAATGTACTGTGTAGAATAGAGGACTTCACTACATTTTTTGTGCCATGTTTTTGGAATTCCCAACCTGAAAATGTGTTCTGAATATATTTACATTCTTTGTAGTTCCTTGTATTTGACACTATAATATAGGAACACATCATATATAAAAACACTCATATTCTTGACTGGAATAAGAAAGCTACCATTCCCATTCCCGATAAGAAAGCAGCACCTTGAAAGTATGAATATGAGAGCATGTTGAAGTTGAGAGCACAGAAACCCTTTACTTGGGGGGGGTATATTAAAAACTTAAATCTTCCAGATGGTGTAGAGCCCACTACAGGCATCAAGAACCATATTTGCAATATACACATATATTTTTGCTTCTCCAGAATAATTTATGAGAACTCAAGATATTTTAATATTTCTCACCTTCAGGTGCTTCATCAGTAAAAGCAGTCAGTTAAAACTGCACCTGAAAAGGTCCTTAAAAGATTCAAAATATAAGGTGTGGACAAAGGCCTGCATATTGGATGTACACACTTTCTAAATATGTGTTTACAGGGCATTGAATGCATACTTGAAATTTTGACATGCTTGCTAAAGAAATAATTCTGGTCTTCAGCACACATATTACAAACTACGTCTGAAAGATGCAAAAAGGCTACAGATGTGAAACGTGCCCCTTAAAAATCTAGTGGGGTGTTTTCATTTTGAAAGAGGAAGAAGCCAGTGAAGACTGGCTACACTGAACTGCGAGGTGTTAGGGATAAGTGGAAAATGACAAGTTGGGTTATATTATTTGGAGAATGCAGAACTTGGTGTAGAAGTTAATGAAGTGGGTTTGAATGAAGTCCAGTATTTTAGCTAAGTGCTGAGAAGTGACTACACTGAAACTCCTGTCCTTTTTGGAAAAGAATTAGCAAGTGGGGAAATGAGCTGCATTTGGAAATATATTGCACTAGTGAAATTAAAACTCACCATCACACTGCAGATCTATGCTGATCCTCTGATGGCCTTGGAAACTGCACCTTAAACAATCTTTTTTCTGTCTCTGTAACAGTTTTTGGGTATGCTCAGAAGAGCTTATTCACAGAGAGCAGTGATTACATGGGAAATAACTTTATAACCCTGGCAAAAACCTCTGTCATTTATTTTTACTATTTGAGGACCTGAAAATAAATGGTAATCAAAGTTGTCTTTTCTTCAAGAGTAATTTGTGCCTAATTCAGTTAGTGACATCTACAATTGCATTATTTCTTCTGAATTCCAATAGAAAAAGATTGCTTAAATTTTTGTCCTCAAAATATTTCTAAGTATGTAGTGTAAATCAGCATAAAAACTGCTGGAGAACACACAGTCTCATGCAATCCACTGCACTGTTCAACACAATGTAACCTCTCATAATGGTTTCTGTGTTCTGGAAGCATAGTTACACAAAATGCAGTTTTGAGAACCTCATTCCCAAGATGACGGTACAAAGAGGTGGGGAATTTATTTATGTCATGAATAAAGAATTCTCAATAATGGGCTGGGGATGTCACTCAGTGGCACTGTTTCTGCCTCACAAGCCCAAGGTCCTGAGTTCAAACCCTGGTACCCCTCAAAAAAGTAAATAAATTAAAAATAAATCCTCCATGACACATATACATGTAAAGGAGAGGCCAAAGACATCTTGTACACCTCCCTGTCTTGGCAGAACGCAGCTAAAAGTCACCATATGTAAACAAATGTCTCATTAGATATTGAAATTGCCAATGCTAGAATTTCCTAAGTTTTATTACTGGAGAAAATTGTTTCATGCAGCCACTATATTTTTTCTTTCTTTCCTTTCTTTTTTTTTGGTACTAGGGATGAAACTTGGGATCATGTGCTTTTGAGGCAGGAGGCAGCACCACTGAGCTAAACCCCCCGCCCAAAAATTATTTCATAAAGTAAACAATCCTGATATTTTGGTTAGGTGTGCTACCATGCGCTAAGACATGGTCTATATATTTGGGTGAATGGTATGGCAACTCAACAGCCATGGTCAAATTCAGATAGCAAAAAATTACATGTTCCCATCCACTAATGCAACCCGATAGATGCACACTTCCTCATGCACATGAATACCTACTTCATCCCTCTCACAAAATCACATAATCCCCACCATGGGTAACCAGTGGAAGTGCACGCAATGGACTGCTGCTTAATCAGTGTCAATACATTTAATCAGAGCCTATGACAAAAATAAATGTTTATAAGGAATTCAATACTAAAGAAGGCTGCAACAGAGATCCAAAAGCATCTTTACATATTTTCAATACATTGTCTGATAAATCTTTAGGAAGCAGAAAAAAGTAAGAAATATCTCTAAAATTTAAGTATTATTTTTTTAATTAATACATGTTTGAAGTACATGTGCACATTCAACTTAGAGAACAGGCCTATGTCTTTAACATTTGATGATTTCCCCTCCACTCATCACCCTCCCTCTGGCTTGAGATCACCTTTTCTCATTTCATCATCATTATTCTTATCTTTAGTTCATGTTTGTGACATACAAAGATTGCATTCATTGTCAATAGTTGGTACATGACATTAAATCTTACATCCCCTTCTTCACATCCATGGCCCTCTAACCCCTTCCCTTTGCCAAGAGCTATCTCTCTGTTTCCTAGTATCTAAACATTAACAGATGCATAAACAAAATATGGTATCTGTACATAATGGCATACTACTTGGCTGTAAAGGACAAATTCAAGACATTTTGAAGGAAAATGGATACACCTTGAAAACAATGTTAAGTAAATTAAATCACACAAAGAAGTGTTTTTAAAATGTAGTTTTCTGAGCACATATATAACTTTGTTAAAATAGGATGAAATAAACTCATGAAAATGTCAACTGTTTCCAAATTATATCCTCAAAAAACGATTTTACATTTCCAATGAACCAAGTATAAATTGCACTGAAACACTGAAGGCTTTCAGTTTAACAATAACCCATGACCTTCAGGCTAACTGCTACTGAGTATTTTCAGAAACACAGTACAAACTAAATTACATTTGTAAAAATTGAAGGGATTCGCATCATGAAACCAGTCATGTTACTTTTGCTAACTTAATTGTATTCATTTCATTATATAAAAAAATTATAAAATCATATGTTGAATGTTTAGTGTGATGTTCTGCTGTTTAGAATGTCAAAATATCACATTCTTCTTTGGTAGCATTTGCATCCCCTAACACAGTAACCTTTTGGGTGTATGGAGAAATCACTAGAAACAACTTTTAGCAAATTGTAATGCTATGTGGCACCGCTTCAATCATTGTAGTAACTATAGAATCTATGCCCTTTTGTACTCTGAAAGAGAAACACTGTGCTTTATCATTAATATCTATCAACTTACCCACCCATACACAGGGCAGCTGTCACTACACTCTCCGCCTCTTGAAAGTTGTCAATTTTAGATGCTAAAAAGAGACAATCAAGATTTGTCTATGGATAGCACATTTCACATAATGTGCTGATCTACATTATCACAAATAGAGGATTTCCTTTACGACTCAATAAAATTTCACTGTGAATAGACTTCACTTTACCTTACAACTAAGGCGATGGTTTGCATGTAAAATGTCCCTTAAAGGCCATTCCCTGACGACTTGGAGGCAAGGTGCTCTGTTATTCTGAATTTAACATTATGCACTTTTCAACCTCATCAGTGCATTACTCCATAAATACACTGGAGGAAGACATTCCCTGCATGTGTGCTTTGAACAGTGCACCTCATCCCTAACACACCTGTCTATCTCTGCCACTCTCTTAGCTCTGTCACATTTGGTATTTACACTATATCTCATTTTGAGTCTGTGCATGTCTTCTTTTTGTTGTTTTTTTGATACTGAGGCTCGAACTTGGGACCTTGCACTTGTGAGGCAGGAGGCAGCACCATTGAGCATTAAATCCCTGGCTGTGCCTGTTTTCTGAAGTTATGAGAATCACAAAAGCACTTCATATATTATTTACATAGGCTTTCTCTTCAGTGGCAGTTTGTGATTTTCAAGGTATACGGAAAAATGGAAAGGTTCCCCATATTTACTGTTTATAGGTGGTTTTCCTCTCATGAACTTTCATTCTCTCATGAACTTAAATGCATTAAGAAAAATAAAACATTTCCCACACTGTTCATAGTCTCTGTTCTATGAATTCTTTCAGGGATGTAATAATACACATGTATCGAAAGACTTTCTTGTACTGCATACAAAGAAAGGGCTTCTCTGCACTGTTATTTCAGTTCAGGGCAAATCACTTTATATATTCAAAATTAATTTCCTCTTAATTTTTTAATGTCTATGATGACAACTAGAGTAACTGAAAACTTTTCCATATTACTTACATACATAGGGTTTTTACATTGTGGTTCCTTTCATGCCTTTGACAATCCTTGTGCGTGGTGAAAGCTTTCCCACACTGCTTACATACATATGGTCTCTCCCCAGTGTGAATCCTTTCATGATTTTGACAATGACTATGTCTGGTAAAAGCTTTCCCACACTGCTTGCATACATATGGCTTCTCCCCAGTGTGAGTCTTTTCATGTTTTTGACAATTACCTTGTGTCCCAAAAGCTTTCCCACATTGTTTACATACATAGGGTTTCTCCCCAGTGTGAATTCTTTCATGTACCTTACATTCACTACGCCTGCTGAAAGCTTTCCCACATTGGTTACACATATATGGTTTCTCCCCAGTATGAGTGCTTTTATGTTTTTGACAAGAACTGTGTGTGGCAAAAGCTCTCCCACATTGCTTACATATGTAGGGTTTCTCCCCAGTGTGAGTCCTTTCATGTGTTTTACGATGACTCTGTGTCCTGAAAGTTTTTCCACATTGCTTACATACATAGGGTTTCTCCCCAGTGTGAGTCCTTTCATGTATTTTACAATGACTGTGTGTCCTGAAAGCTTTCCCACATTGCTTACATAGATGGGGCTTCTCCCCAGTGTGATTTCGTTCATGTCTTTGACAATAACGGTGTGTGCTGAAAGCTTTCCCACACTGCTTACATATATAGTGCTTCTCCTCAGTGTGAGTTTGTTCATGTATTTGACGAGAACTGTGTGTGCTGAAAGCTTTCCCACATTGCTTGCATACATAGGGTTTTTCCCCCATATGAGTTCGTTCATGTCTTTGACAATAACTGTGTGTGGTGAAAGCTTTCCCACAGTGCTTACATATATATGGTTTCTCCCCAGTGTGAGTCCTTTCATGTGTTTGACAATTACTGTGCATGCTGAAAGCTTTTCCACATTGCTTACATGTATAATGTTTATTTTCACTGTGAGTTTGTTCATGTTTTTGACAAGAAGAGCGTGAGATGAAGTTCTTCCCACACTGCTTACATACATAGCGTTTCTCCCCAGTGTGAGCTCTTTCATGTATTTTACAATAACTGTGTGTGCTGAAACCTTTCCCACATTGCTTACATACATAGGGCTTCTCCCCGGTGTGAGTTCGTTCATGTCTTTGACAACGACTCTGTTTGTTAAAAGCTTTCCCACATTGCTTACATACATAGGGTTTTCCCTCAATGTGAGTTCTTTCATGATCACCAAATGTATTGTTATTTAAAGATTCCCAGCAGTGTTTATACACAGGGATTTTTGAACCAGTGTGAGCTCTTTCATGTTTCTTAATATCACAGTGAGAATTCAAACCTTTTCCACTTTGTATGTATATATGGGTATTCATACTACTGTGATTTCTTTCCTGGATTTGAACATAGTTGGGTATACTGAAGGACCTCACATCTTGCTTATATTCAAAGGATTTCTCTTCAGCATTATTTTCTTCAATACAATCAGGGTAGGATTTTCCATATTGCTTAAATCCATAGGGTTTTTCTTCAGGATTTGTCTTTGTATGTTTCTGAAAGGACTGAAAGTCAGTGGAAGTTTTCTCATGTCTGTTAGAGTTAGACACCTTCTGTTCAAATCCATGGAGCTCATGTGATTTGAGTCCTGTGTTATGTATGATGGGCATGGTTGGCGATGAATGACCAATCAGAAGCTTTTCACACGCAAGGCTTTCACCTGCTTTTATACTAAGAAGTTTCATGTGCACATTTGTATCAGGAATCATAAAAACCTTTTTTCCATGTTGATACCATAATTTATATTGAGGGCATTTATCTACATCTGCACTTCTGTCAAAAAAAAAAATAACAAAACAACCAGTCACATTTAAAAATGTCTTCATATTAATGGCTCACCAGGAGGATATCTGATTTGATGCCCCCAAAGCATATTTGATCATGAATTTACTGTACACTCTGGCTGATGCCTTGGAAATAGCTTTTTACCAAAACAGTATTCACTTGGGAGTTTAGAAGTGATATGTTTGCAATAAATACTGGTTACTATCATTTTGACCATTTGGGACATATGTATACCATATTTTGATTTTTCCTCCATGACTCTACCCCTGAGACATTTTACCCGCTCCAAAATGTCTGCCTCTCTCTTTCCTACCATTTCTCTTTTATTTTACTTAATTAATTGTTCTTTTACTCTTTTTTTGGGGGGATCAAACTCAGGACCTTGTGCTTGAGGCAGGTGGCAGAACCACTGAGCTAAATCCCCAGCCCCTCAATTCATTTTTTTGTTATGCAAAATACACCACATGATATTAAACTTTTTGTGTTTCTCTTATTGAACAAAATCTGGGTTCCAGATCCATGCATTTCTTGGCAAATGACATTCATTTAATTCTCCTTTATGGCTGAATACCATCCCATTATATATACACAACATATTATTTTCAGTGCTGGAGACTGATCCCAGGATTTTAGCACTAAAATACATTCTCAGAGTTATTTATCTTTTATTAAGAGACTGAGTCTCATTGATCATTACATTGCCCAGACAACATGAATATGCCTCAAGCTTCCTAGTATGTCCATCCTGCCCAGGCTATCCCAGTTTTCCTTTCTACTCATCTGTGAATGGGCATCTAGGCTGTTTCCAGAGCTTCACTTTCATAAATTTTATTACTACAAATATGGATATGCATGTATCAGTGTAATATGATTACTTTAACTTGAGGGGAATACATCCAGTTGGAGTACAGCTAGATAAAATGAAGTTCCCATTTTTACTTTTTTGAGAAGCCTCTATACACATGTGCATAGATATTACACCACAATGACATCCCACCAACATTATGGGAAGGAGCCTTCTAATACTGTTTTGGGAACATAAATAGACTAACTGCTTTTAAGGATTGCTTGAGGACAGCTATTATCAAAACAGAAGTGTTCATTTAGATTTTGAAAAGTTCATCAAAGTTACCACTGTTGCAATTACTGAATGTGTATCACCTTTAAATACATATAGCATTAATTCTGTAATTTGTTTGATAAGAAAGCAGTCTTCAAAATATATGTATATGTAATTAGATATTCTGCACTTGGCTCTCGACTAAACACAAAATTTTTTTTATGATTCCTTTAATCAATGACTACAATTTCATACATGGGAAACACTATTATTATACATTAGATAATGTCACTAGTGGCATAATGCCAATATTCCCTACATTTCAGATATTGAAATATTTCAAATGTTCAATTGTCTGTCAGAGTCTAGGTACTAAACACGTACACATCTTTGGAGAACTTTTGTGCAATTAAAGAAATTCAAACATGGCCTCATTTTGTTTCAGTTTTGAGACAAGGTCTCCCTACTTAGTTTAGGCCAGCCTTGAATTCACTATGTAGCACAGCCTGGCCTCAAAGTCCTGGCAATCCTCCTGCCTCAGTTACCCAAGTGCTGGGATTACAGGCATGTGCCAACATGCCTAGCTCTCTGTATTTTTTAAACATGGCCTTATTTGTGTAGTTTGCTTGGTTTTAATATTTCTGACTTTTGAGGAACATTCTTGGGAGTGCAAATCACCTTATATTTTTCCTCAAATTTTTGTACTCATCTTCAACCTGCTGGTCTTTCCAGTTTCTTCCTAAAGTATAGAAAAAAAATAATGATGAGTTACTACATTACATAGAAATTATCAGCTTCCAGTTATACTCATAGTATAACTATGAGCAGGCCCAGAAGATTCATGAAAATACTTCCATATTTCAATGAATTGTACTGATGAGCAATAACCAATGCTCTCTGATTGCATAAATGAGTAATGATTATCATCCTTACCTATGGCAGTCACATTTGTAAAGTTTTCCCACATCACATCTCTGTGGAGCTTCTTCTGGGATGGATTCAACAAAGCCCACTCGTCCTTGGTGAAGTTCACAGCCACATCCTCAAAGGTCACTGCCTTCTAAATCATCAGAAATATATTTCCAGGAAGAAGGATAAGTTGGTGAAGTTCACAGCCACATCCTCAAAGGTCACTGCCTTCTAAATCATCAGAAATATATTTCCAGGAAGAAGGATAAGACTTGCAACATGATATATCTCAAATCTCATAAAAAGTCAAAATGAGACTGAGTCCCATTGACGGTTACTCCATGCCTTGGTAATCAAACACTTAATCTTTATTCACATGCACTTGTCACACTGGAATTTTTATGCTAGATGGAAATTCCCTGCTAAAGAATCAGTAGAATGGTAATACTGGTTCTCCTGCTGGTTAACCCCAGTTTTATTACTACACTGTCTGTAGACATGGTTTATGGGGAGAATGGGGTAAAAAAACTGGGGTAGATGATTATCTAATGGCTTTCTCTGATAAAACATTGAAAATATATCTATTTTCAAATGATTATTTAGGAAATAAATCCCCTTTTCTGTATTTAGACAGCATTGGGAAACTTGAAACTGGTTTCACAGACAAAACTAATTAAACAAAGTAAAATTCATGAAAGGTAATTTAAAATGGTAATGAAAAGTATTACAATATTAATTGGAGAATGTCTAACAGTGAAATTAGATTAAGGAAGATACTGTTATTTGGTAGCTCCATGACATGAAATGCTTACCTGTTACAGAGATATAAAAATGTAAAAAATGTAATAGAAATGGAAATGTGGGGATGGTCCAACTAACTGAATGCCATGCCCCTTGGGCTAGGGCTATGCACCCAGCCCATGGAGGATGATGGGACTGAGTGTCCCCTCCCAGCCACACACTGTGGCCTACATGCCCAGACCAGGGTGAGCCCCAGGACTGACCAGTCTGTCTGAAGTTGAGAACAAATAGTACATTATGCCAAAGTACTCAAAGAGATCACAAGAGAGGAAAAGTCTACCCAGCAACTACTAAAGAACACTTAAAAGACCAACCCAAGGCTTACTGGAGTTACAGAAAAGCTAGAAGATAATATAGATGGATTTATTAATATGGTTACAGAAACCATAGTAGAAAATTCCTCAAAGATGAAAAAAGAGTTAAAAATAGAAGTAAGTGGGGCTTAAAGAACACCAAAAAATTATGATGGAAAAAGAAGCTCACCAAGGCATATCCTTATTAAACTGCCAGATATCCAAAAACAACAAAAATTTAAAGCAGAGAAAACCCAAAAGTCACCTGTAAAGATAAACCATTTAGAATTACAACAGACTTAACGCAAACTTTAAGGTCCAGAAGATCTTGGAGTGATATATTTCAAGCCCTAAGAGTGAATAACTTCCGACCTAGTTTAATTTATGCAGCAAAGCTCTCTTTCAATATTGGTGGAGAAATAAGGACATTCATGAAAAAAGATCAGCTCAAGAGACATATGAATGCTAAAGTAGCACTTCAGAAAATACTCAAGAATATCCCAGAAATACTGCAGCCAATACAGATATTCCTTGTTTAATAACCTACATGTTTTAATGACTGGCTTTACACTGAGGCATGTTGTTTCTGACTTATGACCCCCCTACTTTTTTGTAAAGTCCCGCTCATATTGACAGAGCCTTAGTGTCTTTCTCTGTATAGCACACCTTGTTTATATATTACTCTAATTTTTGCTGATCATACTGTACAATAAATGCTTAAGTTTTATGTTCTGTTATATATCATAGTACTGCATGTAACAGTTATGCAAATAAAAGTAAAGTCCCCAAGTTGCCATTTCCTTTGACTTGAATATTGTAAAGTACATACTGTATATAATACCTCATTTAGCACCTCATTCATTTAATGACCTAATCACAGGTAAAGGACTCAGGCATTAAATGAAGAATGCATTTAGCTTACCGTATTTAAGGTACATTCACTAAGCATTTTGTGCAAATATGCACAGCATTCACGAAAAGACAAATGTCTTCAAACTGTGTATTATTTTTGTAATGTCTAATGCTTGGGACAAATCAGCTACCTAATATATTTTGGATATTCAGACCAAAAAAAAAAAAAGGAACCTCAAAAAATACATGGTTTCCTTGTTTTGATGCAGAAGGCAGTGATTTGGAGTGCTGGGATTACAGGTATGTCCCACAGTGCCTGGTGGTTTTATGTGTATAATTTTTTTCTATACCGGGGATTGAACTCAGGACCTTGAGCTTGCAAGGCAGGAGTGGTGCCACTGAGCTAAATCCCTTATGTGTATAATTTTTGCCTTATATCCCTGGCTAGGGAGTTCCTTTACTACATACTTTATGTCTATCCAATGTACAGAACAGAGGCTCCAATAATGTCAGTTTCACTGTCAAAGATACTTGCCATTTACAGTAAGTTTTACAGAGCCAAGCAGGTTCATGATTCTATGATATCTTGTAGTAATATTTTAATTTCATTGGTCTCTTGCAATGATCTTTAGAAGCTCCATTATTAATGAGACAAATTGCATTTTAAGACACAGGTTATAGCAATATCAACTATGTGATTAATGCAACCTTGAAAAATTTACAGACTCTACTAAGATGCCAGGAAAGGGCATGTAAGGAAACATGATTAGTTGCTTTATTGATTTGCTAAAGATCATATCTGGACTGCGTCTGTTTTGCAATCATGATTACTGACGAGCACTTTCTATATTATACTATAGCATAAGATATCCCGGGTTTTCTGAATAATTTGTATCTCTGCTTTTTCTGACATGTGGGATCAATATTGCCTGAACCCAGCTAACATAATGATTCGTAGGTGGTTGCCATATTGTACTTTAAATGTTATTAGTGTATGTTCTTAAGAAAAACAAACCATTTTCATTTAATTTGATGATATGATGTCACATAAATTAGTCATTTAACAAGCTACCTGTTTAATGACTGATCAGTTATGACTGAGCCACACAGTTAAGACTTAAAAACCACTGCTCAGATTTAAGAATGTGTTATTTCATTTTCTGCAGTTCTGTACATCTTGTTGGTATAGTCTCATTGTATTTATTTTGTACAGTACACCTTTTATAAAGCACTATAATTTTTGCTTCTTGTACTTCAAGTACAGTACTATAGTTTTATGTTCTCTTATACATTACAGTACTACATGTAAGAGTTATGAAAATAACAGCAAAGTCAAGTTCAAGTTCTTTCAACCATTTCTCTGTTCTGAATACTGTAATGAACAAAGTGCTTACAATTTCTTATTTAATGACCAGTTTCTGCACAGCTAAAAGCTCAGATGAAAAGAAAATAAGAAGCAAGGTCAATTGGTGAACAACAACAAAAATGACGTGAAAAGAAAAACAAAGAAGTCACCAACAAAGAAAGAATTCAATGAGAGCAATTAATCAACACATCTCAGTAATATTTCTCAATAGTAATGGCCTCAGTTCTCCCTTTAAAAGACACAGTTCGGGAGACTACATTAAAAAAAATCCAGCAATATGTTGCATTCAAAACACTTATTTAATGCAAAGCAATATGCACAGACTAAAAATTAAAGAATATAAAACAGTATTTCATGCACTGGGTTGCCCAAAACAAGAAGGGGTAGCAATTTTAATCTCAGACAATGTGAACTTCAAGCTAAAGCTGATTGGAAGAGACAAAGGTCACTGCATATTAGTTAAGACAACAGTCCAATAAGAATCATAAAATTTATAAATGTTTCTGCATTGAATACTGGTGCATCTATCTTCATAAACAATGCTGAACACAAAAGATCCAATAAATACACAATGACAAAGAAATATCGGAGATGAATCACACCCTTGGACATATTTACAGTCTATTCCACCCCAGTAAAGCAGAGTAGACATTCTTTTCTGCAGGACATGGTACTTTTCCCAAAAAAGATCATACACTAGTCCACAAAGCCTGCCTGAACAAATAAAAGAATCAAAATTATCCCATGTGTTCTATAAGACCACTATGGAATGAAAACAGAAGTCAATGACAAAAGAAATCACAGAGTAGAAGAATCTGGAAAATTAATCACATACTCTTAAACAACCAATGGGTCATAGAAGAAATCAAGGTAGAAATGTAAGCATTCCTGGAATTTAATGGCAATGGCGATGGCTGTACAAATCACTGTAACCTTTGGGCCAATATGAAACAGTCCTGAGTGCGAAGTTCACTGCAATCAATGTTCACATTAGGAAAATAGTGTAAGTTCAAATACATACACTTATGACAAATCTTAAGATATCTGAGAAACAATAATCCAGGCAAAGAGCAAAATTAAGGGGGAAATTATAAAGATTAAAGCACAATGAAATTCAAACTAAAAATATTCAAAATATCACCAATTAAAGAGCTGATTCTTAGAATAAACAAAAGTTAAGTCCTTGGCCATAATACCAAGGGAAAAAGACAAATGCTGTTCAAATCAAGAAGCCACTAATTACTTTGAAAAATATTTCAACAAACTGGCAAATTTTAAAGAAATGGGAAGATTCCTCAATTCATACAAATTGTTAAAGCTGGTCCAGAAATACACAAAAAATACTGAATTGAACAACAAGCAATGAAATAGAGACAACAGGAAAGAACATACCAACTCAATGAAGCTCAGCATCCAACGGAGTCACTGTTGAAGTCTACAAAACCTTTAAGAATGTTGCATCACCTATACTCCTCAAGCCATGCAGAGAAATGAATAGGATAGAGTGCTAGCATATTCACTTGTGGAAGCATCACTCTGATTCCAAAATCTGATGAAGTCCCAACTAAAAAAGAAAACTATAGGCAAATCTCCCTAATATATAGGCAAAACTGTGCAACAAGGTATTAGTGAATAGAATACAGTATGTCATCAAGAGATCATACATCATAACCAAATAATTTTCATCCCAGAGATGCAAGGATGGTTCAATATACATACATCAAGAAATGTAATATATCACACGAATGGAAGAAAGCTCACAAATCATGTGATCATATCAACATATCATGTGATCATATCAACATTTCCAAAAAAGACATCTAACAAAATCCTAACACC